TCTACAGCAGGCTTAGTCCACCATGTATAACTAGGAGGTAGACACCAAATTATCCTCGTGAGAGGCTAGCTTCCATCATCCATAGTAACTGATGTACCAAGATTAATTCTTGCTTCCTCTTCTTGTTCCCGTCAAAGGGCGCTAGCTGTAAAGCCGAAATCCTAATATATGACAGCTATATCACAAAAAACACTGTATATTAAATAAGATAAAGACCAAGGCTTAATTACCTGTATTTAGAGCCTCGTTCGCGTCCTAACCGGAATTAATCATGTCTACCTAACATTACTGGCCAATAATGACTTAGATAAGATTTCGGAAAGACACTTCCCTTGTGGTTGTTGACAGCGTGTTTATGATGGTAGAACACTAATTTGATCTCCATAACAATTCGTCCAAGAGAAATTATAGGAGCTGAATTTGCTCCCCAGCGCCTCTGGTCTTAACAACGGCTGACCTTCACCATTGATGCTCCTGGCTCACTTTGTCTAGATGTCAGTAAGTGATAGAAACTTCACATTTACTTTATTTTGATACTGATAATTAAGTTAACTCAAATGAGATGTTCTTATGATATTAAAAGTCCAAAGACTAATGTACTTAAGAATAATTCCAAACAGAATAGCTGGTGAATTTATAGCAATATGCGGCAATAATATCCCGTTTTCTATTGACGGAAAATTCCACTACAAGCTACATTTTCTATGGGTTAACTTGTGTATACAACGGCAGCAGCAATATTATCTGCATATTGTATTAATATTAGTAAATGGTGTCGGGTTTTCCGACAACGAACCTGTACATCTTTTCTCAATCTTTGGCGGCTTTGTTTCCAATTATTAAACAGTTAATGATCTCCGAAGCACCAGGAGGCTGTTTATATCAATAACAACAGTTGAATGGGAAGTTATTTTCATGCTTGTAAACTGTTTAATAAATGTAACAAAAGCCGTCAAAAATTGAGGAAAGATGTACACATTCGTAAGTGCTTGCGTAAGTGCTTTCGTGAATCTGGCCCCAGGTTATTATTTGTATTTGATGTACGTGGGTGAAGCTTATACAGCAACTCGTCCTCGACTCAACTCCATTACATCCAGTGGTCGACCCCACAGACACATTCATAATTTTTTACATGCTGTTCATTCAAAACGGAAATTTTCTCATATATAAATTAATATTATAATATATTAGTATATTGTGCATATATAGGCATAGGTTAGGTTAGATTAGGTGTTTAGATTCTGTTGGCGATTATTTGAATTTGTGGGTGAAGCATTTACAGCATTGTGGTTCGAACAAAATTCGTCACAAGTGAAGCACTTGTTCCGAAAGTGTTCGAACGAAATCAGTTGTTAGTCGTGTGTAAACCGTTTTTCATTCATAAACAGGCGGTTTGGCGGGTGCATGGAATCACTTTTGGGTTTTTATTTGAAGGACGGGCTAGTTTACAGAGTTGTGATATGAACAGAGGTCGTCGGCGAAGCACTGTTCGAGAAATAGTCAAACGTCGTTTGATGCAAGTCGTTTATAAAGCGTTTAATCAACACATACACTGACAATAGAAGATTTGACATTGGACAACCAGAAGAAACATGCAATATTCTGCCCCAACCACCGTGTAAACACAGGAGAATGGTAAGCTGCGATGTTGTTTTTGAAGATTAGGCCACCACAAGAGGTGGCACGGGGTTGAATAGCCCGTTGAGCTGCGATGTGCTTATTAGCCTTTAAATAAGGTGCTTCACCTTTACCTCATCCCCGGCAGCAAAAAACTAATAAGTTTACGGGTTATTCTTGCCGTGCCACCTCTTGGGTGCCATAGTCTTCATCAATCATCAATCAACTATTAACTTCAACACAGCCACTCTTCTAATTAAAGAAGGTATCGAACAGCTGGACACCCTCATAAATACGGTTAAGCAGTATCCTCCCTCTCCCTCACGATAGGAGCTACATTTTTATTTTTTTATTTTTACATGCAAGCATGCAAGGGAAAAACAATAAATACAATAAAACAATAAATGAAACAGGACGCAACAAACAAAAAACCGCCGGCCAGAAGGACCGACAGCCCAGCACAACAATTAACAAAACCGGAGAAGGTAACAAAGGAGACATGAGATACACACATCAAGACAAAACAGTAAATAATGTACAAACATGCAAGCACGGCAAAGAAAACAATAACACATAGTAACAGTATAAAGCATTTAGCAAGAAAAAACAAAAACAAGACAATCACACCGGCCGGAAGGACCGACAACAACGCACAACATTATGAACAACATGTAAATACACAATCACAATATATAACAAACAAACACAACACTTTAAGCATGAATATAACACATAGGGCAAAGAAATAACACAATAAATGAATACACGAAGAAAAACTCACACCAAACTACCTGCTACAATCCCCCCCCCCAAAATAAGGGGAGGCACGGGCACAAACTACACAAGGGCAAACAAGCAGCCATAAGGGCACACAGGACAAGAGTAAACACAGAAGTCAGGAGACATACTTGTCCGGAAATAAACTCCTAGGGAACCGGACATGAAACGCCTCCCAGAGCAACCACCACCAAGGGTCGAGACCATCCACCGGGGACGCCATCTTATCCGGAACCCCGGCAACAAATATCCGCAAACAGGGGATCCAAATGGTATTACGCCGGAGGCGAGTGATTGGCACACGCTCCCACACGAAGACAGGCTCGTCACTAAAGTTCTGCGGCTCCTCGTACAATGGTAACGCAGCAATCCTCCTCCAGTGACTCTGCGGCAACGCAGACTCCGGCAACACGTCTCCCAGGTGCCCAATGCACAGCCTCCGAGCACAGACCCGCACAGAGGGCATCACCACAGGGGCATCAGCAGCTAAGGGCACACCGTCGGACGACAGCCGGGAATCCGATCGGCGTGGATCCTTCCGCAAAGTCACCACCAGGCTACGCCCAGTACCAGCATCCCCACCATCCCCGGCATCGGATGCCACCACCCCCTCCCCCACCACGGAGAGCCTCAGTGATTTCTTTTCACTTGAGAATGAACCATGGAGGTTCGAAACGTTGTGCAAATTGTATAAATAAGTGTAATACATTCTATAGTAATTCACTTTTTTCTTCACCTTAAAATAACGAACATGAATTTTGGAGAACTCCTCTTTCAGCTAAGCCCTGATGCTAGAAAAAATAGTTAGGGGGATAGAAGCCCTAAATCAGAAGATAGTAAATACAGAATATGCAGTCATATTCAATGAGACATTATATGTATATGTATATATATATATATATATATATATATATATATATATATATATATATATATATATATATATATATATATATATATATATATATATATATATATATATGTCGTACCTAGTAGCCAGAACGCACTTCTAGCCTACTATGCAAGGCCCGATTTGCCTAATAAGCAAAGTTTTCATGAATTAATTGTTTTTCGACTACTTAACCTACCTAACCTAACCTAACTTTTTCGGCTACCTAACTTAACGTAACCTATAAAGATAGGTTAGGTTAGATAGGGTTGGTTAGGTTCGGTCATATATCTACGTTAATTTTAACTCCAATATAAAAAAAATTACCTTATACATAATGAAATGGGTAGCTTTATCGTTTCATAAGAAAAAAAAATAGAGAAAATATATTAATTCAGGAAAACTTTGCGTATTAGGCAAATCGGGCCTTGCATAGTAGGCCGAGAAGTGCGTTCTGGCTACTAGGTACGACATATATATCCAAAATATTTTGGAGAATTGATTTTTGAATTACCATCAACAGTAAAAAGAAACATAAGAAAGATCGAGAAAATTCGTGTTAGAATTACTAATCTTACTTTTTCGTTCATATTTAATAATATATGTCTACAGGAAAGACTGCTACCAAAATATATTAATATATACACACACATATATATATATATATATATATATATATATATATATATATATATATATATATATATATATATATATATATATATATATATATATATATATATATATATATATATATATATATATATATATATATATATATATATATATATATATATATATATATATATATATATATATATATATATAGTTGTGCATTAATGCACAACTATATTCTACCCACTTCAAGACTCCGCACCAATATTTAAGCATCAAGAAATATGGGCCAATAGGCCCTTTGCAGTTACTTCCATTCTTCCCTTTAAACTTACCCAATATTATACCCATTGTTTCGTGTTCTGTCTTGTGTTTTCACCTCATCCAAAACTGTTGTAACATATCACCTCACCCAAATGCAGGTATATAAAATAAAAGCCATATATATATATATATATATATATATATATATATATATATATATATATATATATATATATATATATATATATATATATATATATATATATATATTTGAATACAAGATAAGAAGAAGGTAATAAGATAAGTAGTAAGTAACACAATAAGAAGTAAGGAAACTGTAGAAGGCCTATTGACACATGGAACAACTTCACCTCACTCTCCTTTACATATGCAGTTGCTGCAGCTAATTGTATCCACTTGTACTCTGCATTTAAAAATATTTTCAGGGTCAACGAAAGGCATCTCTTAGCTTAGGGCCATAATAATTGTAAAATTAACTATTTGGAGTCAATTTATCAATCTTATCGAATGAGAAACATAAGACACACAGAGGAGATTCATGATAGAATCATTGATCATATCCTTACTGGTATACACAATATGTAATGTTTACAATTAAGACTACCAGAATTTTTAGCAAATATGAATACTCAAATGTTTATGCAAGGTTACTCTAACTGGAACTTTGGGGCATTAGAAAAGTCACTACAGAGTAGAAGAGAACAGAGGAGAGTGGATAAGAACAGTGATGAATCAAACAGAGTGCTAAAGAGACGAGAGTGAACCATAATTACCAACCAATGAAGAAGATGTTACAAGCTGAGAGGGAATACAAGACCTGAGTGGGGCGCGCGAGGACGGGGAGTTAATTGACGTTAGAAGCAGTCAGACGGCGGTGGTTTACTGAGCCCTCGACCCACGGGCAGGTGTATATATTGGCTACGGACCTGCGCACAACACCACGACAGCTGAATATCTACGCACAACACCACGACAGCTGAACATCTAATCACACCACCAAGACAGCTGAACATCTACTCACACCACCAAGACAGCTGAATATCTACGCACAACACCACGACAGCTGAACATCTACGCACAACACCACGACAGCTGAACATCTACTCACACCACCAAGACAGCTGAGCATCTACGCACACCACCAGGACAGCTGAACATCTACGCACAACACCAAGACAGCTGAACATCTACTCACAACACCAAGACAGCTGAACATCTACTCACACCACCAAGACAGCTGAGCATCTACGCACACCACCAAGACAGCTGAATATCTACGCACAACACCAAGACAGCTGAACATCTACTCACACCACCAAGACAGCTGAACATCTACGCACACCACCAAGACAGCTGAAGATCTACTCACACCACCAAGACAGCTGAAGATCTACGCACACCACCAAGACAGCTGAACATCTACGCACACCACCAAGACTGCTGAAGCTCTACGCACACCACCAAGACAGCTGAAGATCTACGCACACCACCAGGACAGCTGAAGATCTACGCACACCACCAAGACAGCTGAACATCTACGCACACCACCAAGACAGCTGAAGATCTACTCACACCACCAAGACAGCTGAAGATCTACGCACACCACCAAGACAGCTGAACATCTACGCACACCACCAAGACTGCTGAAGCTCTACGCACACCACCAAGACAGCTGAACATCTACGCACACCACCAAGACTGCTGAAGATCTACGCACACCACCAAGACAGCTGAAGATCTACGCACACCACCAAGATAGCTGAAGATCTACGGACACCACCAAGATAGCTGAAGATCTGCGCACACCACCAAGATAGCTGAAGATCTGCGCACACCACCAAGATAGCTGAAGATCTACGGACACCACCAAGATAGCTGAAGATCTGCGCACACCACCAAGATAGCTGAAGATCTACGGACACCACCAAGATAGCTGAAGATCTGCGCACACCACCAAGATAGCTGAAGATCTGCGCACACCACCAAGATAGCTGAAGATCTGCGCACACCACCAAGACAGCTGAAGATCTACGGACACCACCAAGATAGCTGAAGATCTGCGCACACCACCAAGATAGCTGAAGATCTACTCACACCACCAAGATAGCTGAAGATCTGCGCACACCACCAAGACAGCTGAAGATCTACTCACACCACCAAGATAGCTGAAGATCTACTCACACCACCAAGATAGCTGAAGATCTGCGCACACCACCAAGATAGCTGAAGATCTGCGCACACCACCAAGACTGCTGAAGATCTACTCACACCACCAAGACAGCTGAAGATCTACGCACACCACCAAGACAGCTGAAGATCTGCGCACACCACCAAGACAGCTGAACATCTACTCACACCACCAAGACAGCTGAATATCTACGCACAACACCAAGACAGCTGAACATCTACTCACACTACCAAGACAGCTGAAGATCTACTCACACCACCAAGACAGCTGAAGATCTACTCACACCACCAAGACAGCTGAACATCTACTCACACCACCAAGACAGCTGAATATCTACGCACAACACCAAGACAGCTGAATATCTACGCACAACACCAAGACAGCTGAATATCTACGCACAACACCAAGACAGCTGAACATCTACTCACACCACCAAGACAGCTGAAGATCTACTCACACCACCAAGACAGCTGAAGATCTACTCACACCACCAAGACAGCTGAAGATCTACTCACACCACCAAGACAGCTGAAGATCTACTCACACCACCAAGACAGCTGAATATCTACTCACACCACCAAGACAGCTGAAGATCTACTCACACCACCAAGACAGCTGAAGATCTGCGCACACCACCAAGACAGCTGAAGATCTGCGCACACCACCAAGACAGCTGAAGATCTGCGCACACCACCAAGACAGCTGAAGATCTGCGCACAACACTGACGGAGGTAAATTACACATGAGACCTAACCCATTCGGAACACTTTCCAAGAACCACATTGGTTCGACGATGAAACAACGTTATTACCAACGTTGAATTACCGTCTATGACGATGATTTGCCTGTAAAAAGGAATATGACGGGATGTCACCGTGTGCCACTCTAAGGACCTGCCATCACGTCCTTGATACTTATGAGGTCAGCATTTGAAGTTCGTTTAATCTAACTCGATCATACCTGCGGTATATTACCTCATATTACTCAAATTTAATTCTATATCAAGATTACTTTTGGCATCACAAGTGAGGAGAAGACCAACTAGTACAAGAACCATCTGCTGAGTTTATATTGTTGCTGGAGTTGTTAATGCTGAGTGGCAGTCACCCTGTGTGTTACTGTGAGAGACAGTCACCCCGTGTGTTTCTGTGAGGGACGGTCACCCCGTGTGTTACTCTGAGGGACGGTCACCCCGTGTGTTACTGTGAGGGACGGTCACCCCGTGTGTTACTGTGAGGGACAGTCACCCCGTGTGTTACTGTGAGGGACGGTCACCCCGTGTGTTACTGTGAGGGACGGTCACCCCGTGTGTTACTGTGAGGGACGGTCACCCCGTGTGTTACTGTGAGGGACGGTCACCTGGCGTGTTACTGTGACGGACGGTCACCCCGTGTGTTACTGTGAGGGACGGTCACCCCGTGTGTTACTGTGAGGGACAGTCACCCCGTGTGTTACTGTGAGGGACGGTCACCCCGTGTGTTACTGTGAGGGACGGTCACCCCGCGTGTTACTCTGACGGACGGTCACCCCGTGTGTTACTGTGAGGGACAGTCACCCCGTGTGTTACTGTGAGGGACAGTCACCCCGTGTGTTACTGTGAGGGACAGTCACCCCGTGTGTTACTGTGAGGGACGGTCACCCCGTGTGTTACTGTGAGGGACGGTCACCCCGTGTGTTACTGTGAGGGACAGTCACCCCGTGTGTTACTCTGAGGGACGGTCACCCCGTGTGTTACTGTGAGGGACAGTCACCCCGTGTGTTACTGTGAGGGACGGTCACCCTGTGTGTTACTGTGAGGGACAGTCACCTGGTGTGTTACTGTGAGGGACGGTCACCCCGTGTGTTACTGTGAGGGACAGTCCCCCCGTGTGTTACTGTGAGGGACGGTCACCCTGTGTGTTACTGTGAGGGACAGTTACCCCGTGTGTTACTGTGAGGGACGGTCACCCCGTGTGTTACTGTGAGGGACGGTCACCCCGCGTGTTACTCTGACGGACGGTCACCCCGTGTGTTACTGTGAGGGACAGTCACCCCGTGTGTTACTGTGAGGGACGGTCACCCCGTGTGTTACTGTGAGGGACGGTCACCCCGTGTGTTACTGTGAGGGACGGTCACCCCGTGTGTTACTCTGAGGGACGGTCACCTGGTGTGTTACTGTGAGGGACAGTCACCCCGTGTGTTACTGTGAGGGACAGTCACCCGTGTGTTACTGTGAGGGACAGTCACCCCGTGTGTTACTGTGAGGGACGGTCACCTGGTGTGTTACTGTGAGGGACGGTCACCCCGTGTGTTACTCTGAGGGACGGTCACCCCTGTGGTACTCTGAGGGACGGTCACCCCTGTGGTACTCTGAGGGACGGTCACCCCTGTGGTACTCTGAGGGACGGTCACCCCTGTGGTACTCTGAGGGACGGTCACCCCTGTGGTACTCTGAGGGACGGTCACCCCTGTGGTACTGTGAGGGACGGTCACCCCGTGTGTTACTGTGAGGGACGGTCACCCCGTGTGTTACTGTGAGGGACGGTCACCCCGTGTGTTACTGTGAGGGACGGTCACCCCGCGTGATACTCTGACGGACGGTCACCCCGTGTGTGTTACTCTGAGGGACGGTCACCCCGTGTGTTACTGTGAGGGACGGTCACCCCGTGTGTTACTGTGAGGGACGGTCACCCCGTGTGTTACTGTGAGGGACGGTCACCCTGTGTGTTACTGTGAGGGACTGTCACCCCGTGTGTTACTGTGAGGGACGGTCACCCCGTGTGTTACTGTGAGGGACGGTCACCCCGTGTGTTACTGTGAGGGACAGTCACCCCGTGTGTTACTGTGAGGGACGGTCACCCCGTGTGTTACTGTGAGGGACAGTCACCCCGTGTGTTACTGTGAGGGACGGTCACCCCGTGTGTTACTCTGAGGGACGGTCACCCCGTGTGTTACTCTGAGGGACGGTCACCCCGTGTGTTACTGTGAGGGACGGTCACCACGTGTGTTACTGTGAGGGACGGTCACCCCGTGTGTTACTGTGAGGGACGGTCACCCCGTGTGTTACTGTGAGGGACAGTCACCTGGTGTGTTACTGTGAGGGACGGTCACCCCTGTGGTACTCTGAGGGACGGTCACCCCTGTGGTACTCTGAGGGACGGTCACCCCTGTGGTACTCTGAGGGACGGTCACCCCGTGTGGTACTCTGAGGGACAGTCACCCCGTGTGTTACTCTGAGCGACGGTCACCCCGTGTGTTACTCTGAGGGACGGTCACCCCGTGTGTTACTCTGAGGGACAGTCACCCCGTGTGTTACTCTGAGGGACAGTCACCCCGTGTGTTACTCTGAGGGACGGTCACCCCGTGTGTTACTCTGAGGGACAGTCACCCCGTGTGTTACTCTGAGGGACGGTCACCCCGTGTGTTACTCTGAGGGACAGTCACCCCGTGTGTTACTCTGAGGGACGGTCACCCCGTGTGTTACTCTGAGGGACAGTCACCCCGTGTGTTACTCTGAGGGACGGTCACCCTGTGTGTTACTCTGAGGGACGGTCACCCTGTGTGTTACTCTGAGGGACGGTCACCCTGTGTGTTACTCTGAGGGACGGTCACCCTGTGTGTTACTCTGAGGGACGGTCACCCCGTGTGTTACTCTGAGGGACGGTCACCCTGTGTGTTACTCTGAGGGACGGTCACCCTGTGTGTTACTCTGAGGGACGGTCACCCCGTGTGTTACTCTGAGGGACGGTCACCCTGTGTGTTACTCTGAGGGACAGTAACCTCGTGTGTTTGGTATTTTATAAGGAAAAGCAACACCAGGTCTATGACGTGCATTATTCTTTTATTTGTGAAAAGTCTCCGTTTCATCAGGGCTACAACACAACAACAACAAAATTAGTTACCTATTTGCTAAATGCCCAATGCATCCCTTCCTCGGGTTATCCTTGTCCACGCTGCAACCAACCCCAAAGACGCAATTATAAATATGTCTGTACTGTATATTTCCTCATCTTTATTTTCTCGTTTACATTAATATCTTTATATTTTAGGAATTTGTACGTAGTTAGGCCTAGGTTAGGTTAATTGTATACATACCTTTGGAAATTATTTAGATTTGCAGCACCCAGGTGGCGCATTTCGACAGGTGCAGTTGGAATATAGGTAGAGAGCAGCGAACTGTTCAGGAAATGATTGGATGTACTCAGTTGTGTCATATGTATAATTTACCCTCGTGAACACGGGGCTTGGCGGCTGGATTGACGAGCCTTTGACCACTGTTGACGGGCGGAATTATAAACCAAACACTAGTAGAGTGCAGGTGATCGAATTATATTAGTGAGACTCCATTTCTCACTGTGAGCATCGTCTCTTAGGATATTAAGGTCAAGCCAATCGAAGGCTGGAAGCCAATACACTGAAGTCTGTCTGAATGATTGTGGCCAACTGTCCGAGAATAGTCACGGTCGTCAGGACAGAAAAATTGCCTTAAAGGTTGGTGAATAATGTAAAGAGGAGTTCGGAGACCAAGACGATGAGAGAGAAGAGGAGGCCCAGGACGAGGAGTAGGAAGGGTCCCTGCATGTGACGGAGGGTGAGGGCCTGGTTACTGTTGGTGTCCGTCTCGCTCAGGGACGCTCTCTCCTCTGCTAACTCCTGCGACTCCAGCACTCTCCTGCGGCTCTCCTGCTTCGCCTTCTCCAGTACATCCTTAACCCACTTCTCGTATAATCCCGCCTGGAAAACATATGGTGGTTATCTATAAATATTATTTCTGGTGATTTATTGAAAACTTTAAAATAAATCATTGTTTACGTTGCTTGTTTCTGTATGATGCTTTCCTTTAGGAAAAAAATATTTGAATTGTATGTTGTTTTATAAATAATTGTCAGCGTCGTATTCTAATGTTAAATCTATCAAATATGAAGAAATGGACACCATGTATCTGACATGATGGATTATGTACTACTTATGGAATGTCAGTAATTTGAAGTGGCATTAAAACTCTCTTAAAATATAATGTGTTATATACACACATGTATAGTTAAGGGGCCTATGGTCTGGATTGGTAAAAGATTAGGTTATGTGAGTTGGCTGGATTTGTGTTTTGTATCGTGGATGAAGATCCATGACATACTCAGTATCATGGATGAGTGTCATAGATGGTGGTTATTGAACAATTTAAAATATATCATTGCTTGTTTCTATGCGATGCTTTTCTGAGAGAAAATACTTGAATTGTATGCTGATATATATATATATATATATATATGTGGGAGGATGTAGTGTTCTCGGAGTGCCGAGAAATTTATCAAAGAAGAGTATTTTGGCCTGTGGTTTAGGCCCTTTAGGAAGCCAATATGGCGCTGGCTCTTCTGTTTTGCCGCCAAAACTATGTGACGTCAGTGACACCGAATTGGTCACCGACAGCGATGTGGCACAAGGAGCCAATGAAAACCTCCCATGGCGAATGTGACGTCACGAAAGAAGGGGGTCCGGTCAGAGCACCACGGCGGCGCCATCAGTCTGACACGACACGTCAAGGTGGTTGGACGTGCGAAGATTGGTCCTGTCAGTTTGACAGTTGTTTCCCGCTCCCGTGGATTTTACGCGTCACCCGAAGTCTGCCAGTACTCTGTGAGGTCTTCCTTCGTTCATGTGTTAGACCAGAGAGGGAATCGACGGGATATTGAGCAACAAGTGCTCCAGGACAGGTACTGTGCATGAAGAAGTGAAGTCTGGGCAGTGACGTATGCGACGACTGAGGCCGTTCACCCGTTTGTGACGGCGTAGTGGCTGGACTGAGCCACCGGGAAGCAGTGGAAGAAGAAAACTATTCGGGAATCCGAACGACTGCAGCCGAGACGTAGGCAGGCAGCCGTAGCTGGGAGGAGAAGTCGACGGCCGGCAGACCGACTCCAACCCTACAAGAAGTCTAGGAGGAGCACGGACCTGCAGTGAAAAGGCACGGAGACGACGCGCTTACGGTGGGACGTTGATTGAGTTCCTGGAGGACACGACAGTGTGTGTGTGGGGGCGTTTCCTACACGAGGCAGGAGCCAGGACCAGGAGCTACAACTCAACTCTCATCGGAGGATAGGTGGAAGTAGGTGATTCTAGTTTCCCTCCCAATTCCCCTTTAGTCAGCTATATTATTTAGCCTGAGTATTTTGTATGTCGTGAGCAAGGCTCACCTATGTCACAGTAAGGCACAAGTGTGCAGTGGGGCTACATAGAGTACCCACGATATTTATGATTATTATTGGTGTGTACAGGCACCCGGAGTAATTGATGAATTTACTGTGTTGATAACGTCTTTCATGAGACTTTAATAAGACCATTTAGTGAGAGAATATATATATAATTATGCCAGTGTTTGGAGTTAGGCTATGTGCCCAGTAACTATGTTATTACCATTATTGATGTCTGACTCATCCATATATATATATATATGTCTATGCTCGTGTATTGAATAATCATTCATGTGTGCAGTGATTAATTGTGTTATCGCCCACAGAAGAAATTACTGAGAACTCCAGTGATATATACTTTCATACGTTATCATTAAATGAAGGGCAGTGTGTAATACCATGACAGTGAATTATTGTCACCTTTAATATAGAAATGTTTGATTGAGCACAAGATCAGTGTAGCTAAGTGTTTACGTGCTGTTGTCGCAAATATTGTGTGTTCGATCTTCTAGTGATCTTTGAGAACTTAAAGAAACAGAGCGTGTGACGCCAGGAAAACAAGCAAACAGATAAAGTGACATTCGCGCGGGGGGGTAGTCGCCAAGCTGATTTTGACATTGACGAGAGGGGGAGCGTTGCCGGCTTGGTGAGTTCATATTATATGTGTGGGAACGATCGACTCCCGCCTGAAACAGCTGTTTGCTTATTGATATAATCTTGTGATGTCTTTGAATGAGTTTTAAGTAAAATACAAAGTACATTGGTGTTTATATCATCCCCTCCATATTTCTTGTGGCTATGTAATACCTGAAAGCAGAGAGCGATAGATGTAAATACCTGCCTGATATCAGACATATTAAGTGTGTTCTTGCCACTGTTACCACAATTCAACAAAACCACTGACGTGTTACTGGACACCGAAAACACTAGTTGGCGACCTTGTGGTTAGTAGTAGAGCCCTATGTTGGGGCGGGCATACAACAGTTAAGTGAACAATTTGTGTTCCCACTCCTTCTCGATCAGAGGCCGGTTGGGATTGACTGGGATACTCTCCTGGCGTACAGTGGCGCCGCGAGGATAGAGTGAAAACCCGCAGGGCTACGGTGAGTGACCTTGAGTGTACTGTTACTCGCCCCTGTCCCCTCTCATTGGAGGTGAACCCCGACATTGGCGACCTTGCCAGGATCACGATCGAAATAAAGGTTGCAGTTGTGGTATTAGATATCAGGTACAGGTTATTACTCATAGCACAAGATGGAGGATGATAAAGTAACAAGGTTCATTGACACTAGAGATGAGCAGGTGCTGGAGGAGTGCACCAAGGCAGTTACAGTCAATAGCAGACCATTTTGGGATAAAGTTGAGATCTTCCAGAGTGGGAGAGAGAAGACTGGAGATAATGGCACAGCTCAGAGCACGAGATGAAGCTTTGGGGGAGGAACAGCCACAAACACCTGCCAGTATGGGAGAACACCTGAGCATTGGTGGGAGCAGCAGAGGATCCAGTGGCAGCAGGCACAGCGTTAAGCTGGAGATAATGAAGCTGCAGCTGGAAGCACAGCAGCGCAGAGAAGAACGAGAAGCACAGCTGCGCAGGGAAGAACAAGAGCGAGAAGCACAGCTGCGCAGGGAAGAACAGGAGCGAGAAGCACAGCTGAAGCGTGAGGAGCGAGAGGCACAGCAGCGCAAAGAAGAGCGAGAAGCAGAAGCACAGCTGAAGCATGAGGAGCGAGAAGCACAGCTGAAGCGTGAGGAGCGAGAAGCACAGCTGAAGCGTGAGGAGCGAGAAGCACAGCTGAAGCGTGAGGAGCGAGAGGCACAGCAGCGCAAAGAAGAGCGAGAAGCAGAAGCACAGCTGCGCAGGGAAGAACAAGAGCGAGAAGCACAGCTGAGGAGAGAAGAAGCGCAACTGAAGCGTGAAGAGCACGAGCGAGAAGCTAGGCTGAAACAGCAGGAAATAGAAGCTAACAAGGATGTGGAGCTGAAGCGAGCTTAGCTAGGACTAGCTCCACCTGCTCCGCCACAGCAGGAAGACCGCCGAGTGAGGGAGCGAGATCTGCCGGTTTTTATACCAAATGAAGCTGAAGGTTTCTTCGACCACTTCGAGAGGGTCGCCACCTTGAAGAAGTGGCCGAGGGCGGAGTGGGCGGAGCTGGTTCAGGGTAGGCTCACCGGTGAAGCTCGTGAAGCCTACAATATGCTCGACCTCCTAGAGTGCACCAACTACGATGCTGTAAAGAGAGCTGTGCTCCATTCTTTCAAGCTCACGCCGGAATGTTACAGGAAGAGATTCAGGGAATGTACCCGTTCGCCAGGAAAATCTTATGCGGAGACGGCGAGGGACATGGAGAGAAAGTTCCTTAAGTGGCTGGAGTCTGAAGGAGCGAGGTCGGCTGAGGAGGTCAAGAGGCTTATGGTCATGGAGAAGTTTATGTCCGTGCTCTCCTGAGATCAGGGTGAGAGTAAAGGAGGCGGACATAAGGGACCTGAGGGCCGCAGCCGACAGAGCCGACATGCTGGAAGAAGCCTTACGCCCACGCAGAGAGGGACAGCACCGACCGCCCGTATACTCCGGAAATGGTAGAAATTATAGGAGGACGGACGGATGGAGGACAGGAGCGAGTTCTCCCAAGTCCCACCTCTCGAGTGGGGACAACAGAGGATCGAAGAGTGCTGTGGAGCCGGTAAAGAAGTCCCAAGCTGAGAGCTCAGGAGCTGTTGCTGCGACGAAGGAGTCGACAGATGGTACGAGGAAGACACACGGAGCGACGGCCTCTGGAGGCAGTGCCAGGGCGAGCAGTGGTGGATGGTCTCCGACAAGGAAGATCCGCTGCTACAACTGCGGATTATTCAAACACGTCGTGCGGGAATGCAAACGCCCTAAACAGCGGGGGAACGTTGCTTTCGTGAGGGTCGAGGACCAGACGGCCGAGAGGGTGCGGGATGAACCCGTACTGAGTGGGGAGAAAAGAGTTCACCCATTCGTGTGTGAGGGAACCGTAAGGATGGGGGACGCAGACCCCATCCCGGTGAAGATATTAAGAGACACTGGGGCCGATTTTACCCTGGTGAGCGAAACCCTGTTCCCCGAGGGTTACGAGAGTACCAGTGTGGGGGTGGCAAGTGTAACCACTGTGGGAGGCCCAGTGAGGATGCCCCTACACCAGGTGACTCTGAATTCTGATTATGGCTGCCAGACCCTTGTGGTGGGGGTCTGTGCATCAATGCCCAAGATGGAGGCACAGGTCATCTTGGGAATGACGCATGTGGAGGATATGTCCTCCCGAATCTCGTGAAAGGCGAGGAGTGCCTAGAGCACTATAAGGAGACGGGCGAAGTGTTAGACACCTGTGGGGACGAGAAAGGAATCGCCACGGAGGCGTTTCCGGTTTGTGCTGTGATGCCGAGGCAGCGTGAAGGACACAGAGGGTGTGGATCTGATGGGGCTGAGGAGACGTCCGACAGCCTGGGAATCGATCACCTCTTCATGGGACCCGGAGAACGAGCGGAGGGCGAAGGCAGCCCGAATGGTGAGTTGCAGGTGAC